GGAATCCCACCCCCGGGCCTGGGGGAAGGCTTGGCTCCCCCTTTACTCCTCTTCCTGTGCCCTTATGGCATAGGAAGAGGAGGGAAGGGATCAAAGCAATCCACCAGCACTGCTGCCTTTTTAAAGACACTGGGGCTGGAGATGGATTGGGTCCCCCTTTCCTTCTCTTCCTATGGTGCAGGGCCCCATTGGAGATCGCTTTGAACCCTTACCTCTTCTTTCTATGTCATGCGGCATAGGAAGGTTGTGGGGGCCAGGAGTTTTTATTATTATTATTAAATGTCCCAGTGTTTACAAAAGAAGGAATCTTGTCATATTCAATTATTATTTTTAGGTAACCCCACAGGCTGTACAAAAAATATGACCTGATGAACCAACAAATTGATTCGTGGTTCGTCAGGCTTCTGGGGGGAATTCGTGGTTTGTGGGTCATCAAGTTTGATAACTCACAAACCAAGACTCCATCTCTAATCTGTACCTTATAAATTTGCCTTTCAACCTATGACAGTTTATCTGGTTTTATTTATTTTGGGGAAAAAAACCTATTAGGTTCTGTAGCCATTTTGTACTGATAATTGGGCAGCATACTGAATATTTCAGCTATTTTCCAGTAATTTTTAATTTTTTTAAAAAAATTAGGCCTTCAAAAATTCAAAACTGATGGCTATAAATAAAATAGGTAAGTTAGGGAGATATTGAACTGTTCTTTATAGAGATACTTCACAAGGATATCTTGCAGTTATTTTGAAGCTTGAACAATCTTCACTTTCAAATTGGAGTTTAATTTAGAAGAATTATTTACTGGTATATTCTGGACTATTTCTTGTATGATTTTACAATTGTTTTTAAATTTTTAAAGACTTTTAACTTGCTTGACTGAAAAAAATCTTTGCAATTTTATCTAGGGTTCTAGTGATTTCATGATGTTACCATTTTATTTGAGGCCAACTTTCTGAAATCAATGTGATTCATGGCAGCATATTAGTACTAGTATATGAATATCAGTATTAACTATTTGTTACTCCAGTTAATGCTGTTTATGTTTATTGAACCAAACTTAGCAACAGAGATTTGTGCACAAATGCTGACTTAGGTCTCATATATACAGTAGTGCTGAATTATAGGGTCTGCTGACTATATTGCATTTTCACATCTGGGGGCATGGGCTTCACTCACTGTTCTATTCCAAGCAATTATATCATGGTTTACTAAGCCATGCTTCAGTTTTCTTTTCGTGATCCTCAATAGAACAAGGAAATCTCTAAATTTTGTTCCCCATTTAATCCAAGAGAGTGGTTTACAGTGATGGCTTGTTCCAAAGAAGGCAACCATATGTTTTTGTTTGGAGTAACATTGGAAATTCTTTAGTAGCTATTTCTTCAAGAGGCTCCAATCAAGCACAAAATGCTTCTGCATAAAGGATATCAGTGCAATAAGATGAGATCGTATGATCCAGACAGGGAAACTAAGTTGTAGTCCACATTCACAGTCCTAAATACTTGGTTCAAGTATGATAGGGCTACTCAACTGTTTGAAGGAAGAGAACAGAACTCAGCCTCTTTGTCTTTGTGGAATAAGTAAAGGGCTGGTAAGAGTTCCTGTTGGATAGATAAATACATGCACACGAATTAAATAAATAATGTGATTTGTCCTCCATGTTTGTGTCTTTGTGCCCACCCTCATAGCTTCCTTTATGTATTTTACATTTAAAAGTGGTGGTAAAACTGAAACTCTGTTCAGCTTTCCCCCTTTGGACACCTTGGGAAAGGAATAAGATAGGAAAGGTCAATCCAGAGGCATTTCATTTTTGGAAGATTTCTTCTGCAACTGCCCTTTCTAAGAATCTGTAGGTCATGCACTGTGTTCCAATAAGGTTTATAAAATAATATTAAACAAGACTTTAATTATTTACCAGAATTCAATATTCACTTGCATCTGCTCTTCATTTTGCATCTATATGAATTTTAAGTAACTAGCGAAACAGATGTAAAACAGTCTGTATTCAGAAACAGGAGGGAAAAATAAACCTGAAGTGCTTCATTGGATGCCAATATTAAGGCTACTAATAAAAGCAGAAAATTAGTTCTGAGATCCTCTAATGAAGAGAGCAGAATATTTTGAAAATCCAAGTGGCATGGATTTTACAAATACAATAATAATACCAAAGCAATGCATTATACTGACTACTATGAAAACAATATTTAATTGTTTCAATATGGACAAGCAATTCATCTAAAGCTCATAACAAGGAGTATTTCCAAAACTAAAATATATTTATCAAAGAATAATTCTGCAGGCATAGCATAGAGCAACTGGAAAATTAATTCAGTCCCTGTGCATTTTTTAATCCCAAATTTATAACATGTTTCTATGGTTTGAAGTATTCTCCCATGCCACCTTATTTTAAGCATGCTCTTCTTTGCTTTATGTTACTTTCCATGGTTGCTATGGCAAAAAGAGAGAGAAAAGAAAAGAAAAGAAAGACAATACAGTTGCCCATTGAACAATAAGCTCTTGTTTACTGTTGTACGGATATGTTTGTGTAAGGGACCACCACCCCTTACGCACACTTCTCTTTTCTGTGGAATGAGACTTAAATCTTCTCTTCCTGATTGGAAGCAAACTATTGATTGCTTTTGTACTGGAGTTCAGGAATATGTTGATATTTTCAAAACATTGTTTGATGACAAGTTGAAATAGCAAGCCAGGATCTCCCTGTAGAATTGTACTCCTGCACATGTGGGGCAGCTGGCTTTTACAATATGAGGTACCCGTGTTCAGTATAGGTGAAATTGTAGAGTAGGACAGGCTCAAGGGCTGTATTGCCCGTTTACCATCAGCTTGGACCTTTGAGGGCTACATCTGCTCCCCTTTCCCCCTGCCAAAACAGGAGTGAGTATGAATCTATTTTGGCTTTTTTAAAGGTAGAAGTGTGAAATAGTTTTAAAATGGACAGTCACATCTGCATGCAGCCTGTGGTCTATTTTTAGACCACCTTTTTTCCCCCGCAGCAGTAGGTCTCCAGAAATTCAGCAGCAGCATTGGGGACCTTTCTCGCCTACATGAGGTCAACATGCCACATAGTTCTCCATCCTGTTCTATAGGCCCTGGCTTCTAGACTACTGGAATGATAACTATGAAGGATACATAGAATTAATCTTGTCTCTTGGTTCTCAAACCAGGGCCCCCAGATGTTCTTGAACTGCAATTTCCAGAGCCTTGACCGCTTGCTGTGCTAGCCAGGATTTCTGGAAGTTGCAGTCTAAGAACATCTGGGGAAAACCACTGATCCAGCCTAGTCCACAAGCTACATTGAGTCATCTCAGCTAGTAGATTGGGAAGGGTGGCACAGTCAGTGAGCACTGTGCCATCTGTACCATTAGAATGAGTACTTCAGCAGCTGTCCTACCCAAGCTTCTGCCACAATCATCAAGTGCTCCACAACCAAACTAGAAGACAGAAAGATTATGGAGTACCATTCACATCCTACTCAAGAACCCATTATCACTTGAATGCCAGTGTGTAGTATAGTTTCTCTCTATTGCTTGCTCCTCAGCACACTCAATTACATGTCATTGGTCATGGTAAAGGTAAAGGTTCCCCTTGACAACTTTTTTTTTGTCCAGTCGTGTTTGACTCTAGGGGGCGGTGCTCATCCCCGTTTCCAAGCCATAGAGCCAGCGTTTTGTCCGAAGACAATCTTCCGTGGTCACATGACCAGTGCGACTTAGACACGGAATGCTGTTACCTTCCCACCGAGGTGGTCCCTATTTATCTACTCGCATTTGCATGCCTTTGAACCGCTAGGTTGGCGGGAGCTGGGACAAGTGATGGGAGCTCACTCCGTCGCGTGGATTCGATCCTATGACTGCTTGGTCTTCTGCCCCTGCAGCACAGGCTTCTGCTGTTTAGCCCACAGCGCCACCACGTCCCTCATTGGTCATGAGTGCAACCTTTTACTTACTTGCTTTACTTACCCATCCATACAAAATAGGTGGTGGTGGAGTTTATCATCTTTACTCTCCTTATTAAATTAAGCCTTGCAATCTAGTAGGGAATTATTCAATCATAATTCTATATCTATCATTACATCATTATGCTATAGTTACTGGATTTTCTGTCTCCTGTAAAAGTTTTCAGGCTTTTTTCTTATATGTATCTTTCACTGAGGCTTACTGTGATTTCATGCCATTGACTTATCACTATGGAGGGGAAAATGTAATAGCTATAGGCAAAAATCTCAAACTTGGAATCTCTTGTTATTATTTAGATTAGTATTATGAGGTGTTTAGCTGCTAGCTGTAGCGCAAATGTGCTGGACTGGGTTGGAAGGCAGTATAGTACAGCAGTGCAATAGGTAACAATAACAATAAGCTTATAACTGGAGAGCAGGAATCGGCTCTATGAGATCATTGGGTCCAGCCCGTCAAGGATACAAACATTTTAAAATAAGCAACTCCTCCCTTGGCTGAAGTCCTTTGTCTATTACCTGTTGGCAGTTTTAGTAAATAAGTTTTCTAAGAGTGGAAAAAGAGGTGTTATGTAATACTCATCATCATCCTCAACGAATTCCCAGCTGACTATCAAACCAAATGAGCTGCACCATGAGGACATTTGAGTGTAAGTACAGTGTCAAGTATGGTTTGTTAGCAACAAAATTCTTTAGTGAGGAGATTTGAAAGGAGCAATTATGCAAAATGACACACACAATTGCAGACATACTTAACCCAAAATGTTCTTTTTCTGCATATAGAAATATTTAACCTGATTTCTTAGGATGTTGCTTTGTATTTTCTGTTTTAAATAATTTCTTAGCAAGGTGTATAGGAATCCACATCTTTTTGGTTTAGTTTTCTATTTTGGCGGATAAATGTGTTCTTTATATTGCATGCTGCTTGTACACAGGCCAATACATTTTCCTCTTGTTACTTGAATTTTCATAATTAAATTCTTACTCTCTATGCAATTACCTCTTGTCTTCATTTTATTTCTAAATGCAGAGGATTGCTCCTTCAGGAAAACAGCAGGTTTTCAGAAGCATTACATTACTATAAATTGGCCATTGGAAGCAGGCCTACTTTAGCATGTAAGTAAAATTTAATGTTCATTTATTTTAAACGATGCTCCCCCCCCCACATTGTTATAAATACCATGGTTAGAAGAAACATCTGTGAAATATACATAATTTGCAGTGAATTAGTTTGCACTTATGCAAAGAGAGGCTCTGCGTTGAACACTGAATACCTGCCCTCATACCCTCTAGAGTCTAAGAACTGGTCTGGTCCTGTTGTTTGGTCTGGTGAGGCAGCTACTTCAGACAGTTGATTTGTAGTGTCATGAAGGGGCAGCAGAGTTATTCTTGTTGTATTTCTACTGCCAGGGAAGGAAAAGTGATGTTTGTATAGCAGTTTTGCTTCAGGTGGCAAAATAAACTGACTGGGCCCACAGACTGTGCACCAATACTTCACTTTCCCCTCTTACTTTTTATTTTTATTTTTGCAGCTTTAATATAAGAAGACAAAATTAAATCGAACTTACAAAGGAAAAAAACAGAACTAAAAAGGATAAATACAGTAATGTTAGTGCTCACTATAAACCACCAGTATACATTTACAATATCATTTCACTGCATAGATCTTATATTACACATATAAATCAATATAGGTTTTTCATATGTCCAGATAAATGTCCTTATAAAATTGGCATCTATATGATATTTGTTCAAATAAAGCTCTGACCATTGAGTAGCTGATAGTGGATGTTTATCATTTCAGGCTTTGAGTATAAGCCTCTTAGCCACCACAAAGACTCGTAAAGTCCAGTTTCATTGTCCCTTTGCTAGGCCCTATAGGACAAGAATATAATTTAAGACCACATGAATAGCCAGAAATATCAAGGATTTCCCCAGTACTGCATTAATACAAGTGAAAACTTCAATTGAAAACAAATGCATTACTAGGTAAGCCCAGATTGCATATGTCGAGGATGCATTTCCAATATTACATCTCCTACATCTGTCCAAATTTGACAATATCTTCTGCACTAGTACTTCACTTTAGAAAACATATTGTTTGGGACAGCTCTGTATCCTGTTCTTGATTCAGACCCACAAAGATTTTCCGCTACTAAAATTCCAGTTCACTTGGATAACGAGAGCATTGTTTGTTCATCAGACCTCCATTTATACCGGTTTCAGACTTTGATCTTTCTCTTATTTTAAAGTAGAACAGAATATTCTATGTATGGAATAAATGGGTTAAATATCCTGTTTTTCATATATCATTCTCTTAACAAGAATTAATTTGATTTTGATTAAGAAAGCACATCAACACGTGTGACATTCCAGTTCCATTCTAGTAAAATTCCAGTTCCAATTTTCTAAATTGTTTCTGAAATAGGTAGTCTTAATTTAAACACAATGTTGAGCTTCTGATACATTGGCTTATTTACAGTGTGCCTGTTAAGCTTTGTCAGGATTTTCTGGAGAGCAGTGTTGATTGCTACAGAAATAACTGTTCATGTTTGTACTTTTTTAAAAAGTACAAAACAGCTCTCATAACCTCTGAGATTGCAGTTACAAACCTTAACCTTATTAGAAATAGGATGCAAGAGAAAGTTCTTATTAAGAGCTGCCACATTTAAACTCAGAATAGCCATGACGTTACCCAGTATTCAGTAAGGAAGGAACAAGAAGAAGACATTTTGCAATAATATGCTAGGGTTGAAGATGAAACAGCCATTGTAAATGGCACAACTTTTCTAGTTTTTAAGTTTATGTATATAATACTTTCATGTTTGCTCTCACACAGCTGCCTACTTAAACACTGGTATCATCTTAATGAACCAAGGCAAGGCCGAGGAAGCCAAGAAGACATTCTTGAAGTGTTCAGAAATTCCTGATGAAAACTTAAAAGATCCTCATGCTCATAAAAGCTCTGTTACCAGCTGCCTTTATAATTTGGGAAAACTCTACCATGAACAGGGACAGTATGAGGTGAGTGTTTTCCCTTCCATACAAAAAATGCATGTGTTTTGTAATGATTGATTGGATCCACATATTGAAGTCAGCTATTCAATTATTCTGTAATTAAATGTTGTTTTAAGTCATACAATGAAGTTTCTTCATAAAGCATTTGTGGAATAGATTTTTTTTAATGTTCAATGCCGGGTGGGGGAGAGAACAAAGCTTATTATAAGCAAATTTACTTGATTCAGTAGCTAAAATACTGCTGCTTAGCATAGTAAGTTGTAACTAGAATATGACCCCTAAAGAGTTTCAGTTGATTCACTGGGCCCATTCTTATTGTGACTCACAACAGAATTTCAGCGAATGAATTTATTTGGTACCTGTTCTTGTCTAGCAAGTAATGAAACTACATTGAGAAGGTTTGAATACAGAGATAAAGGAAGGCTGAACAAAACTTCAACACTGCACTTTTAATATTGTTATGTATTCTTAAGTTCTTACACACACACACACACACACTTTTTTTATACATAAGAAACAAAACTAAAGAAAACGTACATACACTTAATATGCTCCCCCCCCCCAAACCAATGGAAATATTCTGTTTCCTTCCTTTTATGGAGCCTCATTCTCCTTCCAAAAATACATTGCCTCTTGTGAAGGTACACAGACCTTCCTCTTAGTTGGTACAAAATCAATAACTTCTACCCATATATCTCTAAACATATTCTTATTTGGCAGTCCTTTTCTTACTTTGATATTACATGTCAGTTTATCATTACTAGCTATGTTCCACATTTCTTTATATCATTCATTTTATTGGAAACCACACTTAATTTTCCAGTTCTTTGCTATTATTGAGCCACTGTTACAAGATTTGTGATCAATTCTTTCATCGTCCATTTCCATTGTTCACTCTTAAATATTGATAAAAGTGCTATGTTAGGACATATTCATAAATTTAACTTCAGTGTTTCACTTATATCTTTAACACAAAACTTATAAAACTTCATTATATATTCACATTACCACCACATATGAAAGTAGTTTCCCTTTTCTTACTCACATCTCCAACGTATCTTAGAATATTTTTTATCCTTACAATTCAGTTACACTGGTGTTAAGTACAATCTCCAGACTAATTTGTAAAATTTTTGTTTTATTCTTACAGACATACATTTTAAGAATCTTTTATTCCATATACTCTTCCATTTTTCAATAATTATTTTTTTAAGTTCTTATTTGTTGGTTTGCTGATTTATTTATTTATTTATGTGGTGTGACTTGTCATTTCAAAAAACTCCAAAGCAAAGCAGAAAACAGTTAGATCACAGGCATGCAGTAAAAGTTCAAACAGAGAACCTACCATAAAACCTGAAAATTAGCTTCACAGTACCATCGGATAGTAAACAGGGCCTCCACACAGACTGTAGAGACTGTACTGGTCTATAATAGACTCTCAGGTAATCTGTTCCTGGGCTGTTTGTGGGCCTTATGAACCAACACAATCCTGGCTCAATAGTTAAGTAGTAGGATTGCAGAACTTCCAACTATAGATATTGTGTGTACATGTTGGGAAACTCAGCTACACTGGGCCCTCGACTTATGAACTTAATCCGTTCTACGTTCGTACTTCGGAAAGTTTGTAAGTCAACCTACCATTTCCCATTGAAATGCATGGGAACGGAATTAATCCATTCCAGCATTTAAAAAAAAATACAAAAATAAAACTAAAAAGAGCAAGTTCCACATTGGGACTGCAAAACACACACACACAAACACAGAAACATAACCCCCCAGTCCAAACCCACCCTCCAAAACCCACACAGAAAAGTTTTTTAAAAAGAGGACTTACCAGTCCGAAGCCTCCCAGCGCTCCGCTGGCTCCGTGCGGCCGGGAGAGAGCGGCCAGGCGCCCGGCCTGCTCTAGCCTCCCAGCCCTTCACTGCCTCTGCTGCCTTTGGAGCTTTCAAAGGGCTTCCTCCGATGTCGGGAAAAGCCCTTTGAAACCTCTGAAGGCACTGATCGCGGTGGCGAGGACCCCCAGGGAGGTCTCCCATGGTGGC